TTTGGAGAAAATAATACAACAGTTTGACAAAATATGTCAATATTTTGAGATTTTTTCAAGATGTTAAGCCAATATTTTGAGGGAATAAGTCCCTTAATTTCAGATACTAAATTAATATTCCTAGACAACACTATATTATTATAAGATAATAAGTACATTTTCGAGCAAGTCAATATTTTGAGATACAACTTCATCATTTTAAGAAAAGTAATAATTTCTCAATGCAAAGTCAACATTTTGAGGAAATAATTCACTATTTTGATTGTTGCTAAGTCAAGATTTTGAGGACCTCTGTCATTATTTTGAGACACTAGATCAATATTTCTAGAAAATATATTATTGTGAGATGCCAATTCAAAATTTCAACATTCGAAATGCTGCCATAAACATTACAAAACTAATTGTGTATTCATTTAGGTAACAAATTAAGTAATTACAGTACAATTCTGTAGCGTTAACGGAATGCTTTAGAACTGTAGGAACGTCTCAGGGACGTCTGAGGTTGAGTTGAGGTTGAGATGTTTTGTGGAAATCAGCGAGACTCCCTCTGTTTCTTCAGGAGGAGTGAAGGAGGGAACGTTTCAGTGGAGATGTTGTGCCATAACCCAGCAAAGCCTCTTTACGGCGCGATGCTGAACGACTACAACAGCACGGAGTGTGTGATGAAGCAGTATGAAAAGCTGGGGCCAGATGTTTACATGTGCTCCTGCAGTGCAGAGCTGTGCAATGAGCAGCTGGTCTTCCCCGAGCCCTGGCAGTGCGGGGATGTCTGCACGTACCTGGCCGTGTTTGCCATCATATTTGCGGCGGTGTCTGTGGGAGTGGGGTCGGCAGTGTGTCTACAGAAGTTCATTCGTTCACGTGGGGGATGGAGAGTTTTTATACGTCATTACTTTTAATGAAACCAAAACAATCTCAGTGGTCACTTTATCACAAACCCCTCTCTTGTAGCAGTTCTGAAGTTAGAGATCTAATAAAGTGGCCAGTGAGTGAAAGGATAAGGCAGGTGTTTCTAATAAAATGGCTAGTTAGTGGAAGCACAAGGTAGGTGTTTCTAATAAAGTGGTCAGTCAGTTGATGGACAAAGTAGGTGTTTTTAATAAAGTGGCCAGTGAGCGGAAGTACAAGGTAGGTGTTTCTAATAAAGTGGCCAGTTAGTTGAAGGACAGAGTAGGTGTTTCTAATAAAGTGGCCAATGAGCGGAAGTACGAAGTAGGTATTTCTAATAAAGTGGCCGGTTAGTGGAAAGACAAGGTAGGTGTTTCTAATAAAGTGGCCAGTTAGTGGAACGACAAGGTAGGTGTTTCTAATAAAGTGGCCAGTCAGTGGAACGACAAGGTAGGTGTTTCTAATAAAGTGGCGACACAAATTAAAACTAGAACAATTGGAAATTTGGACACTAATTTTTAAGATTTCTGACAGATAATTCATAAACATTGACATTTCAAGTATTTAAAGTATTCAGTAAATAAAGTATTTAGACATTTCACACACCTGAATAAAATCTCCTGCTCTAAATGTTTTACTTCATAAAGCTGTGAATCATAGTTTTGAATCTGAGTTATTTCATCTGCCCTGGGCTATAAAAACAGGTCTGTTTCAACACGTTAGTCACTCCTCGTCTGTGATTGCCTAAGTGTTTACAGCTGCTTCAGTAGAGGTCACAACGTGTTTGCTAATAGCAGAAGTCGACATTCCAACTTCTGCATTAACAGCCCAACAATAAACAAAGCTTTTATATTTGCTCCTTTTCTATGAATTGGCATCCAGTCTCTGTTCATTGTTTTTTTACATTGTGTTTGTTGTGTCTTGTAAACTACTGTGGAAATGGAGGAGTGGTCAGTTTGGTTGGTGCTCTAGTTGAGGACTTTCAGCTTTTCTGATTAAAGTCTACTGTCTACTGATTAAAGTCTACAGATACGTAGACCCCAGTACTTATTGGTTATTAAACAGCCATGAGGTAGACAAGCAGAATTGATCTTGTTTTTTTCTTTGCATTTTGTCTTTCGCATTTCTCTTTTATCAATAAACCAACTTTTTCACTCCATCCAAGTGTTTTTTAGTAATATTTATTCATTGTAAGCAAATTTCAGGCTTTTTCATGCGGGTTTTTTTAACATGCATTTACATTTTTTGCATAAAAGAGGTGGGTCACACTTTATTTGGATGGTCCCCTATAGATGTTCTACAGATACTTATATCATTAACAAATTCTTGATTATCAACAACATTTTGTTTAGGTTTAGGGTTAGGAGTAGGTGTGGGTTTTGCCTTGAGGCTAGGGTTAGGTTTAATAATCTCATTCACACTGAACTTGAAGTTGAATTCAATAGATATTTAGTTGAATGTTACTTATAGACAGACTAAGCATTTACAAAGCATCTACAGTGGACCATCCAAATAAAGTGTTACCAAGAGGTGGATGGACATTCTTTAACTGGTGTGGTGCTGAACAGAGAAAACGGAATTATTCAGAAACGGTATTATTCGTAATTTTAATATAACTAAGGGCGCTTTCATGCCTTCATAGTTTGGTGCGGAACAATCCAACTTTTGTTTCAGTTCGGTTTATTTTGACAGGTGTGAACGCTCCACCAAACAACTGAACTATGGTTCACAAAAATCGACAGGTCTCCGTACACTTCCGCATCAACCCTGGTTCCCTTCACTGTTGGTGGGAATGCATTTTTACGGTGGTCCACACCAAATGAGGGGGCTCTTTCTTCTTCTTCTAGCAGCACGTCAGCACCTCAGTGCTGTGCTTTCCGCATAACCTGCCTGTTTTAACTTCAGGCTCATTTCATTCCTGCAGCATGAGCTGCTCATAATAACTGCAGAATAATATAATAGTGAAGAAATACTTTAGATTTTTTGGCCATGCTGTCGCCTGATTGGTTAAATTCAAATTGACAAACCAATCATAAAGACAAACCAGTCAATGATCATGGTTATTGCTTTGATTGTGATACACATAGACATTAAGAGTCTGTTTTCATTTTCATTATGGCAAATGTGAGAGTAACAGAAGAGTGAAAAAACAGCCATGTGTTTTCTACCTTGGTGAACACACACTAACACACCACCACCATGTGTGTTGCACTGGTCTGAGTGGATCAGACGCAGCAGTGCTGCTGGAGTTTTTAAACACCTCAGTGTCACTGCTGGACTGAGAATAGTCCACCAACCAAAAATATCCAGCCAACAGCGTCCTGTGGGCAGCGTCCTGTGACCACTGATGAAGGACTAGAGGATGACCAACACAAACTGTGCAGCAGCAGATGAGCTATCGTCTCTGACTTTACATCTACAAGGTGGACTGACAAGGTAGGAGTGTCAAATAGAGTGGACAGTGAGTGGACACAGTGTTTAAAACTCCAGCAGCACTGCTGTGTCTGATCCACTCGTACCAGCACAACACACACTAACACACCACCACCACATCAGTGTTACTGCAGTGCTGAGAATGATCCACCACCCAAATAGTACCTGCTCTGTGAGGGTCCATGGGGGTCCTGACCACTGAAGAACATGGTAAAAGGGGGCTAACAAAGTATGCAGAGAGACAGATTGTGCACCAATATAGTGAGTGGAGCTGATAAAATGGACAATGAGTGCGTTTACATGCACGTAATAATCTGATACCTGCAGAAAATCAGATTTTGTCAACACGTCTACATGTACTTGAGTAATCAGATAAGGGGGAAACTCCAGGTCTACATGAGTCAGACATTAATCAGATTTCTTCTTTTCAACCAACCAATAAACTCACAGAAGAAGACGTGACGTAAATGTAACGTAAAACTCAAACTTCATGAGTGGCTTTTTTTTTTAAACATTGCACCACTTTACCTGAAAATATGAACATATATTACATCCTTCATTTCGTCAAGCATGTATTATGTTTCAGCGTTGCTCCAGAAGTGTTTTGCTGCGTCTTGTGGCGACGCTGCTGTTTATTTCTGGTATAGCAGTCTGTTCCGCACATGCGCAGACTGAGAAACCTGAAAGAAATCAGAGTAAGAGTTCACAAGCACTGAGAAATTTGATTACTGAGCTAAAATCCAGCCTCTTTATCAGATTTCGTAATCAGATTTTTAGACCTTACTCCGATCTAAGAAATCAGAGTGTGCTGTTTACATGACCATTAACTGCAGAAATCTGATTATGATTGGATTATCGAGTGCATGTAAACACACTCTGTGATAAATTTATCACTTTTTCAGAATTGTTTATTGTCCCAGGCCTAGTTATTTGCTGTAGAATGTAAACCAAGTACATTTGCAGTTGACAGAATAACTATATTTCGTGGCTGTATTTTTACCAATGACTTAAAATTGATTCTTTACCCGAGATGAATGTTTACTTGTATCGCTGAATGTGTTTGTTTTTCTTGTGAATCGTTATTTAAAGCAGTCAATAACAAACATATTGTGTGTTGATAACATTTAATAAAAATCCCACGGAATGAAGTAATGTGAAGTCTGTTTTTTTTCTGATTAGTGATTTTGTGCTTTAAAAATATTTATTTTAAGTTTTTGTACATTAGATTAGATTTGGAGAGTTTTTGATAGTTGTGGGTTCTTGTCCCATTTCACCCTATTAAAATATGTGTTCTCTCTCCTACATTTAGAGTCAGTTATTCATTCAGCCTAATGTGAAACTGTAGAACAGACTCAGTTTATATCACAATACCTACATTTAGAGTCGGTTATTCATTCAGCCTAATGAGAAACTGTAGAACAGACTCAGTTTATATCACAATACCTACATTTAGAGTCGGTTATTCATTCAGCCTAATGAGAAACTGTAGAACAGACTCAGTTTATATCACAATACCTACATTTAGAGTCAGTTATTCATTTATAATATATACTATTTATTTTGTACGTGTGTGAAAAGGAAGAGTGTTGAGATTAGATTTGGAGAGTTTTTGATGGTTGTGGGTTCTTGTCCCATTTCACCCTATTAAAATATGTGCTCTCTCTCTCTCTTTTCTTTAGCGAGTGCTGCACTTGTAAAGCCATTCAAATTGAATGGTCTCTGCATGTTCTGTGATGTTCTGCCCAGCAGCTGTAACGCTACGGGCACCTGCTCATCAGAGTGTAACATCACAGCCATCTGCGAACATCCAGAGGAGGTGTGCGTTAGTGTATGGTATGTATGTTTTTGTGTACGATACTCCTGTGTTAATGCATGTATCTGTTAGCATGTAATAATGTTTGTTAGAACATGTTACATATGTGTCATATTTATGCATTAGTAATTAGTAAATATATGTGTAAGCATATGGTATGTATGTGTCTTAGCATGTGGTACATATATGTATTAATGTATAGTATTTATTTGTTAATGTATGGTATATATTGTGTGCTATGAATGAGGAATAACTAACATAATGACTGTTTTAATTGAAATTAATTGAAGGGTTGTCACCTGACTTACCCACTGCACTGTATATGTACCATATGCTTTTTTACCAATTATTAATAATAAATACAGTAACAACATATCAGTCAGTAAGGAGAATGTGTTGTTTGTGTTATTAGGCACACAGATGGAGAGAACAGGACAGTGGAGACGGTCTGTCATAACCCCTCTCTACCCTTTCGCGGTGTGATGCTGGACGACTACAACAACACAGACTGTGTGATGAAGCAGTATAAAGGACTCGGGCCTGATTACTATATGTGCTCCTGTACAGGAGAGGAGTGCAATGACAAGCTCACCTTTACACAGTCAGGTGTGTGTGTGTGTGTGTGTGTGTGTGTGTAAATGTGTGTGTGTGTGTGTGTGTAAATGTGTGTGTGTGTGTTGGGGGGTGAATGAATTTCAAATGCATTTTTATTTTTATTAAGACACAATATTGCCACCGTGTTTATGACTCTCTGCATTTAATTGTTGAACAAATTCGGAGCAAATCATGCAGTCAAATGCTCAGAAAATATAAATGAAAAAAAATATATATAAAACCAATTAAGTGCTCAGAAAATATCAATAAAAGTCCAATATAATAACAATAAATTGCTCAACAAATACCAATAAAAACCCCATATAATACCTATAAAATGGTCAAAACCCACAAATAAAATGGCAATATAATGCCAATAAAATCCTTAGAAGATACCAATAAAATACTAATATTATACCAATAAAATCTTTAGAAGATATCAATAAAACACCAATATCATCATTATCATCATTATCATTAACCACTTAATCCAGATAGGGTTGCGGTAGCAGTTGGGAGAGTTGGGAGTCCCTCACCACCGGTGTCCACCAGGGGGTTCTTGGGTTACCGCCCTGACAGGCACCAACAAGCTTTTGGCCACAGCTACGCGCGGCAGCTTCCACAATGAAGGCTTTGAACAGGGTCCATTCAGAATCTATGTCCCCTACCTCCTCCGGGACATGAGAAAAGCTCTCCCGGAGGTGGGAGTTAAAATCATTCCAAACAGGGGCCTCAGACAGTCGTTCCCAGCACACCTCACTATTCGCTTAGGCCTACCGGGTCTGACCATCAGTTTTCCCTGCCATCTGATCCAACTCACCAACAGATGGTGATCAGTTGACAGCTCAGCACCTCTCTTCAGCCGAGTGTCCAGAACATATGGTCCCACAACGACAACAAAGTCAATCATTGACCTTTGACCCAAGGAGCTCTGGTACCATGTACACTTATGAACATCCTTGTGTTCGAACTTAGTGTTCGTTGTGGACAATCCATGCCTGGCACAGAAGTCCAATAACAATTCACCATTCGGGTTTAGATTGGGCACACCTCTCCAGGTCTCCCAGTCATTGCCAACATGAGCTTTGAAAGTCTCCCAGCAAGACTATGGAGTCTGTAGGCAGGGTCCCTTTCCAGACCCCCACCCATTCGCTCCGAGAAGGCCGATTACTCCGACCTGTTGTTCGGTGCATGAGCACACACAACAGTCAGAGCTTTCCTCACTGCGATTTTAATTTGCATTAAGGCGACCCTCTCGTCCACCGGGACAAACTCCAACTGCATGGCATCCAGCCGGGGACTCGTGACCACACCCGCTCGGCACCTCTCACCCTGTGCAACTCCTGAGTAGGATAGGGACCAACCCCTATCAAGGAGTTTGGTTCCAGAGCCGACACTGTGGGTGGAGGTGAGCCTAACTATATCTAGTTGGTATCTCTCAACCTCCCGCACAAGCTCCGTCTCCTTCTCCACAGTGAGGTTACGTTCCACGTACCAAGAGTCTGCCAAGGGCCTCTCTGCCATCTCCCACTGCCTATACAGCACTGCACCGGTCCCCCATGCTGGACCTTGCGGTTGGTGGGCCCACATGGTCCCCCCACGTTGCCTTTTCGGGCTGAGCCCGGCTGGGTTATGTGGGCTGCCCGGCCACCAGGCGCTCGCCGAGGAACACTACCCCCAGGCCTGGCTCCAAGGGTTGGTCCCGGTAACTCTCTCCCAGGAAAGGTACATGGTTTTCTTCGTCCCTTTGTCATGGAGGATTTTTTGGATGGAGTTAGTCTTGGTCTTCACTCCAGACCTGTTCGCCTTGGGAGATTCTACCAGGAGCATATTGCTCCAGACGACTTAGCTCTGAAGATTCCAAGACCACACAAGCCCTTCTGCCATGGCAAGGCCCTGACCCAATATAATACCAATAAAATCCTTAGAAGATATCAGTAAAACGCTAATATAATACCAATAAAATCCTTAGGAGATACCAATAAAACGCTAATATAATACCAATTAAATCCTTAGGAGATACCAATAAAACGCTAATATAATACCAATAAAATCCTTAGGAGATACCAATAAAACGCTAATATAATACCAATAAAATCCTTAGAAGATATCAGTAAAACGCTAATATAATACCAATAAAATCCTTAGGAGATACCAATAAAACGCTAATATAATACCAATAAAATCCTTAGGAGATACCAATAAAATGCTAATATAATGCCAATAAAATGCTAATATAATGCCAATAAAATCCTTAGAAAATATCAATAAAACGCTAATATAATACCAATAAAATCCTTAGGAGATACCAATAAAATGCTAATATAATACCAATAAAACGCTAATATAATACCAATAAAATGCTCACAAAACATCAATAAAATGGCAATATAATACCAATAAAAAGCTCAGAAAATACTGTTAAAATTCCAGTTTATTAACAATGAAATACTCAACAATATAATACCAATAAAATGGTCAGAAAATGTCAATAAAATCCCAATATAATATAAATAAAAAGCTCAGACAATACTATTAAAATTCCAATTTAATACCATTAAAATGAAACATCAATAAAATGCCAATATAATACCAATAAAACACCAGTATAATACCTGTTTCATGACTGCAGTGACTCCTACAGGAGGCTAATTATTCTAAATGCTCATCTCCATGTAAATATCGATTTGAACCTGGTGTGAAAAACCTAAGAACAGCATGCAAAACTGAGATTTTCGAGGCAGCTGCCTCTTTTTTAGAACAGAGCAGGAAAACGAGGAACACTGCAGGCGGTTGGCTGTTGTATGAGCTGATGTGCAGATTACAGTCATACAGCAATCAGATTTCAGTGTGACTGGAGATGCTTTGGATTACCATGTGTAACTGAACATGGTTGAAAGTTTATTACTTAGATGCAAGTAATAAACTTTTAACCGGAGTCTAATCGTGCGGTGGTCTCTGTGTGTGGGTGTTCAGTGTTCAGTGTGTTTGTAAACAGGGTCTAATCGTGCGGTGGTCTCTGTGTGTGGGTGTTCAGTGTGTTTGTACGTTATGCTGAGACGGTTGAAACTGAGGCTTTTACAGTCCTGAGGATGAACAGTGCTGTGGGTGACTTCGGCCAGACATGGTTTAACCTGTAATCACACATTTCAGACGCTTGTTTTGTCTCTCTCTCTCTCACACACACACACACATACACACAGTTTTTATACAGTGTGAGGACGTATAGTCACACCCATGTCCCATATGCACACCAGAGAAGTGAATGTCTGGGCAGTGAGTGTGTTTATGTCTGTGAAAACACAACAGAACATCAGAATAAACACAAATAAGCATGAACCCAGTAGTCAGTGCTCAGACTGTGTTCTCTCTGAACTCCAGCCATCACGTTCTATCAACTGATTTAATTTAGTGATGACTGATTAGATAATCTCTGCTCTTAAAAGGATCTTCAAAGGTTCTTTAGTAAAAAAATGGTTCTATATAGAATAATAAACACTCAAAGAACCATTTTAATGACTAAAGGGTTCTTTGTATCATGAAATGGTTTATCAGACTGATGGGAATGAGATCCTAATGCGTGGCCATGACTTAGTAAAGCATGGGAATGAGATCCTAATGCGTGGCCACAACTTAGTAAGGTGTGGGAACGAGATCCTAATGCCTAGCGACAACTTAGTGAGGCATGGAAACAAGATAATTAAGTCGTGGCCATGGCTTAGTAAAGCATGGGAATGAGATCCTAATGCGTGGCCGCAACTTAGCAAGGTGTGGGAACAAGGTCCTAATGCTTGGCCAAGAGTTAGTAAGGCATGGGAATGAGATCCTAATGTGTGGCCACAACTTAGTAAAGCATGGGAATGAGATCCTAATGCGTGGCCACGACTTAGCAAGGTGTGGGAACGAGATCCTAATGTGTGGCCATGACTTAGTAAGGCGTAAAAGCGAGATCATGCCTTACTAAGTCGTGGCCAGGCATTATTTTTATTTATACAGGATGTCACCAGCGGGGCTCCATAGAACCCTTTTCAAAAAGGTTCCAAATAGAACCCTCCACAACACTTTTACGCAACTTTACAGATTATTTTCCCTGTTTTTTTGTGCAGTACTTTATATTTGTGAGTTCCTGTATTTAATTAGGAATTTCTATATTGCTTAACATTAAGCTCTGCTATATAATCATGATGTAATCATGCCATAAACATGTTATGTTAGATGTCATATGCTGTCATAAGTTGTTGTGACAGAATGTGTTCAGTACTACAACAGTGTCATGTTATCATTACTAGTAACTGTTATGACATGTCATGACATTTGATGTTTGACAGTTTATAATGTGACATTATGCAAATTCACAGGTGTTTTCTAGTTTACTGTCATGTGAGGGCATTTTTTTTTGGTCAGGCCCTCCGAACTCAAAGCCTGACAGCAGGTGGTCTAAATTTTACACCCCTAAACCTAAAAACCTTTTTTCTTGACTGAACCATAACATTAGCCTCAGTTAGAAATGTTTTTCCCTTTTGGTTTAATTCTTTAATCCCTGTTTTTCTCCAGTTTTCCTACAAAGTTTCCTACATATTGAATCATTTCTGTCCTGAAATCTTCTGAAAACAAGTTCAGGCACACAAATACACCCCGCCTGTCCAAAGAGAAAGTTCAGACGTGTGGTTTCCTGTCTGAGTTTAGAATGCAAAGCATGCAGCAGAAACATGACAGAATGTGGGACTGTATGTTGTGATATTTAAGTAGAGGTCACATGACTCGTTTCTCTAACAACCTCTTAATGAAGTGTTTCAAACTAACTTCACTCTCTCTCAGGGACGGCTCACGGTCCCATGAGGCCCCTCAGCACAAGTCTTTGTAGACCCCTTGGACCCCAACACTAATGAGAAACAAATGAAAATGAGATTTAACAGTATTTCACTTTTATGTTTGCATTCACTTTGAGCAAAACAAACTTATGTTTTTTGTTTTTAAAAAATAGCTTTTTTATTGTGCAAAATCGTCACCATAAGCTAAAAACTTCTTATCTTCAAAGTAATAATTTCTCAAATAATTTCTCAAAAACATTCTTAACTTGTAAAGAGATTTTATTTGGAGCCATATTGAATCATTTCTGTTGGACTGTTAATCGTGACATGTTCACACAATGTACCACTAGAGCCGCTGGTGTTTTCTAACTCTAATGCCAAAGTTTTGACAATATGCTTTTGTGTCTGCATTGTCAACAAGACGTAGATGATTTTTGTGTACAATGTGAATGAGGGTTTCTTCTTGTTTTCTTTTAAAAAACAAAAATTTAATCAAATGCCAAAGCCGAAACAGGTTCAGGGCAACTCAGCCCTCTGGCTTAGTGAGTAATTCATCCCTGGGGACTCACATAGTTTGTGTGACTCACTTGTATTCATAGCCTTTGCTGTGGTCTCACAGGTTTTTTCATTTGTAAAATGTGAATTTCACAGATTTTCACTCAACAAACTACCCTACCGCAGGGCGCCCAAACTTTTAGTCTTGGTGGGCTATACACGTGGTGGGCTGAGGGCCAAAAAGACAAAACAAAATAGAAAATAAAGAAAGAAGGTAGGTCTCAAGTCACATTTTTAAAATTGTATTTTATAACATTATGCTAGTTTGTTAGTAAAATACTGCAAAAATAAAAGTTTAAAAGAATTTAATGCTAAAAAGTTGGGATACTATGCAAAATGTAAATAAAAACAGTATGCAATGATGTGAAAATTATTCATACCCTATGTTTTATTGAAAATAGTGACAACATATCAGAAGTTGAAACTGAGGAATTTTATTGTTTTTTGAAAAATATATGCCCATTTGTTATAATTTGAGCAACACATTTCAAAAAAGTTTAGACAGGGGCAACAAATAACTGGCAAAGTTGTGTAATGCTTAAAAAAACAACTAAATACAGTAATTGGCAACATATTTATAAACCATAAATGCTGCCACCTTCTCTGGGGCCGAGCTCATTTACAAAGGACTGAGGGGAAGTGGAAAAGCATCCAGTATAATAGCAAGAATAACATTTCTCAATGTAAAATAGCAAAGAACTTGAGGATTTCATCATCTATGGTACATGATATCTTTAAAAGATTCAGAAAATCTGGAGAAATCTCTGTACGTGAGGGACAAGGCCGAAACCCATATATTGGTTGGCCGTGATTTTTGGACCCTCAGTCACCACTGCACCCACACACTTCAACGGACACCCACTCAACTCAACTAATGAGTTAGTTGATGTTGTTTGGCAGCTACCAAGTGCTGGATTACATGCTGAAAAACTGAAAGTTGTGAAAGGAGGTCTGGCTCTGTTTAAAAGGTTTAGATATATTTTTATTTAGCCTCCAATTGATGGTGTAATTTCATAATTTCAAAGCTTTATTTAAAAAAGACCTCTGAGCATTCAGCACAGATCAGTAGCTACTCATTTTCTGTTCTCAGACTTGTGAAGCCCCAAAGGCTTCAGTAAATTAATCATACACATAATTCAGTACATTAATTCAATCATGTGTGTAACTGAATACTCACCAAACTTGATATTGTGAATGGCTAAAATGCAGCATTGTTTTATTTGCTCTCTTTTTGATATTTTAAGCACCAACTTGATTTGTTCACCTTCCACTTCTCAGTGATGGCAGTAGCATCTCCAAAAGAAAAAAAAACTGTGTTAAAATAAAGCCCCCAGTTTGAAAACCACCAGTGTGGGACATGTCCATGCAAACCTTGTGAGAACAGCTTCCAGACCCATCGTCCCTCCACGAACCCAGCCACACAAACATATCAGTATGCCAAAATAGAGGTGAATATAAGGTGTATTTTTAGGCTGAACAAAACCTTGTGAATTTGCAATGAGTGTCACTTCACATGATGTCACTGTTGACAGACAAGTGGGGAGCACCACAGCCAAAAAAAAACAAAAAAACAAAAAGACATAGCCGCTTGGCTTCACGACTAACATTATTTTTCATCTGTGTCAGCTTTTTATTAGTAGCTAATTACTGTACAAGAAGTGTACGAGCCAGCTTAAACTAAATTATAGCCAGAACAGATGCTGGGACATGTTGTGAAAAAAAACAAACCGTTTTCTTGGAAGGGAATCAGTTAGATTAGTGATTTACTGGATGCTCTGCAGCTTCATGTGTTTTGCAGCTTGTGATAATTACTGACGTGTTTTTCTCTGCTGCACGCTTGCAGCTTATTTGTCGCTTGCCTGTTCGCTTCTACAAGCAGCCAATAACTGTCCAAGCCCACCCCACCCAGCCAGCCATTAAACCCCCCCATACGAGCCGCAACCTGCTCTGGGTTTATCCACAATGACCATCGTGCCTCAAAATGCATCCCTCCCGCAAATGATTTGACAGATATAAAGAAATGTGTTTGTGTGGAAATGTAGACATTTGAATCAAGCAAATTCAGTTTTTTCAGCGTACAGAAGTGCAGAACTTGGCCTTTTTCTTTTTTTAATTGAGGGCGTAAGAACAGAGTTCACCTGCTGATGAAACTGTGATGAAACTGATTACCTGTGTGCCAAATAACGCAGTGTACATTTGTGGCATCTAATTGATCTATTGAGACGTCTCTATTTTCACTCTATTATCTCAAAATCACCTGAAAGTCCAAAATAAAAAAAAAATCCAACTTTTTAATCTACTCATAAGTGATAAAGTTGTAAGTTGTAAGTCTGAAGTGAATATTGGCTGGAGAAGCTGATATGAAGCATGTTTGATTTACCTGATGACCTTTAGGCTTTAATTCGGCCATGTTTTAGAAAACAGACACATTGGGTATTATTTTTTTGCGTATAGGCACACTTTTCATCTGGTTAAAAATGTCACAAGCAGCCACCTAACAACACCTTAGCAACCACCTAGGATAACATAGCAACCACCTAACAACACCTTAGAAACCACCTGGGGTACCATAGCAATGGCATAGCAACACCTAAGCAATCACTTGGGATATCATAGCAACAGCCTGGCAACACCTTAGCAACTATCTGGGATACCATAGCGATGGTCTAGCAACACCTTAGCAACCATCTGGATTAGCATTGCAACCACATACAAACACCTTAGCAAGTATCTGGGATACCATAGCAATGGTCTTGCAACACCTCAGCAACCACCTGGGATACCATTGCAATGGCCTAGCAGCACCTTAGCAACCATCTGGAACAACGTGGCAACCACCTACCAACACCTAAGCAATCACCTGGGATGTCATAACAATGGCCTAGCAACACCTTAGCAACCATCTGGAATAGCATGGCAACCACCTACCAACACCGAAGCAATCACCTGGGATATCATAGCAATGGTCTAGCAACACCTCAGCAACTACCTGGGACATCATAGCAATGACCTACCACCACCTTAGCAATTACATAGGATGTCATAGCGATGGCCTAGCAACACCTCAGCAACCACCAGGGTTACTACATCAATGGCGTAGCAACACCTTAGCAGCCAACTGGGACATCATAGCAATAGCCTGGCAACACCTTAGCCACTATCTGAGATACTGCAATGGTCTAGCAACACATTTGCAACCATCTGGATTAACATTGCAACCACATACCAACACCTTAGCAACTATCTGGGATACCATAGCAATGGTCTTGCAACACCTTAGCAACCACTTGGGATACCATAGCAATGGTCTTGCAAAACCTTAGCAACCACCTGGGGTACCATAGCAATAGCCTTGCAACACCTTAGTAACAACCTGGATTATCATTGCAACCACCTACCAACACCTTAGCAATGGCCTAGCAACACCTCACCATCCACCTGGAATGCCAAAGCAACTGCCTAGCCACCATTGTAGCAACCACCTGAGAGACCTCAGCAATGGCCTAGCAACACCTTAGCAACCACCTGGATTATCATTGCAACCACATACACCTTAGCAACTACCATAGCACCAGGTACCATTGCAATGGCTTGCCAGCACCTTGGCAACCACCAGGGATCCCATAATAATTGTATTCCTGGTGGGATACCATTGCTATGCCTAGCAACCACCTTAGCAACTACCAGGGAGACCTTAGCAATGTCCTAGCAACACCTTAGCAGCACCTAAGGATCATTCACAAACTCTCCCCTTTCATTTTCACTTTCACAAACTTTCCCCTTCTAGTTTAAATGACTTTCAATAAAAAATTCAATATGTTAGCTCATGCACAGAACATATGTCTGTAATGGGGTATACAATCAATAATCATTCACGTTCATGTTGCTCTGTAAAATGTCCGGGCATGGTCATACCCTTACTGTCGCTCTTGGCGACAATCATTTCTGGATAGCTGCTCTGAGACAGTGTCTGTAGTAGAAAGCCCTGTCACAGTATCAATTCTGTTCTGTTTGGTCACAGAGATTTTGCCTCGTCCAGAAGTCCGGGAGGTTCCCATTATCCTGATCAGCCTGCTTCCTCTGCTGGTCCTTGCAGTCCTGATCATGTCGTTCCTCTACTTCTTCCGTCTACACCGCCAGCAGCACCTGAAGACAGGCGCCAAGTCCAAGTGCCCCAGCCATGACTTCTGTGACACTCGCGCCATCATGAACGACGTGGACCATCCTGAGAGCAACTCAGCCCACGCCAACAGCCTGAACCACAACATGGAGCTGCTGCCCATCCAGCTGGATGGCGTGGTGGGGAAGGGACGCTTTGCTGAGGTCTATCGTGCAAAGCTCAAACAAAAGCCCACCAGTGCCAGTGGGGCCAATGTGCCTTTCCAGACTGTAGCAGTGAAGATCTTCCCCTGTGAGGAGTACGCCTCATGGAAATCAGAGAAGGAGATCTTCTCGGATGCCGAACTGCGACATGAGAACATTCTGCACTTCCTGACAGCGGAGCAGCGCGGGGGAGAGGGTCAGTACTGGCTGATCACGGCCTACCACGACAAGGGAAACCTGCAGGAGTACCTCAGGGGCCACCTGCTGAGCTGGGAGCAACTGCACAAGTAAAGTTTGGAGTTCCAAAGATTGGAATCCATGTTTTCATTTATTGAAAGCTAATTTTCTTGCAGATACACAATTATTCAAAGGTTTGCTATCAGTGTTTTCAATGATATCAAATTGTTGTATATTTTACCATGCAAAAACATGGATGCCTCTAATAAAAATGTCATCTATAATAAAAAACAACAAATTCATTGCATATACACTAGCATTCAAAAGTGCAATCAGTGTCTTCAATGAAGTAAAAAACAATTTTGTTGCACTTGAAATTCTGTTTAGATATTTGAAATCGTCCATTTAAAAGTTTGAAGTCAATGTTTTAACTAAAAGAAAACCAATTTTCTTGCGTATACTCTACCATTCAACAGTTTGGAATCACTATAAAAGAGTTTATTAATGTTTTCAAAGAAAATATGAATGATTTTGTTGCAGATTCTCATATCCCTAAAAAAGTCAGTATAAAACCATGGAATCATCTGTTCAAATGTTGGTGATGTGAAACCATTTTTGTTGAAGATGAATGTATAAAATGATTGTAATATTTTCACTTCATTACAGGAATCTGTAAATAAAATAAAGACAGTTTTGATGTGTGCAGAATGATGAACAGAGCTGTAGAAGATTCTCTAATATTTCCAAGAGCTCTACAGTGTTGAGAATAAAGTCCTAATAAAATAAATATGCAAAATAATAAGCATTTCAAAAAAGTGGTGATCAAATCTTGAGGTGGTTAACTTGATTAGAAAGTATTAGAGTGTACTATTTATCATGTAATAATTTATAAAACATCAAAACATTGGAAATAAAAGTGTGATTTTTATAAAAGAACACAATTATATGATACATTTGATAAACTGACAATTTTATAAAATTTCAGTTCTAATTCTTACTACAAATTATTACTGAATTAAGAACATTGTAACAAAAACATAACTACATGTTCTATAATTTGGAGCATTACTTTGAACACATTTGTATGACAATGGAAACTTCCAATTAAAAATACAAATAAAAAATATGTGCCACATGATGGGCAATATACAAAAGATTATAGATGCCATTGAAAAGTATATTATCATGTGTATTACTTTATATACTTTTGTCAGAGGGCCCAAGTGTTCTACCCTGATCCTTCTGATAATTCTGTGTTGAAAAAATATAAATAAAACTAATTCTGTCTGTTAAACAAACATGAATAAACAAATAAAGTAAAAAGTAAATAAAAAACAATATTATGTGATTATAGGTTTATACTTCACTCTTCTGAAGTTATTGATTTTGAAACTTGATTGCCATTTTTCAAATACTTGGTACTTTACTTAGTAATAATACAACCTCAGTGAGTTTACAGGTTTATTAATTATTACTGAATCTTCTACAGCTCTGTTTATTCTGGAAACATCTCATTTTTGTTCATATTTATTTACAGTTTCCTAGCAATTATTTGAAACATGAAGTTTTTGTTTGGTAGCATTATATTACAGTTATTTTATACTCATAACTGCAACAAAACTGAAATGAAACATTACTATCATTATATAAAATGTATCAGTAGTGAACTATGACTATTATGCTATGTCATCAGTTCAACCATAAATGTCAATATTTGCTAAATAAATAAAAAAAAACACTTTTATTGTAAATTATGCTGGCACCCCTTTGGGGTTTGCAATAGTATGTTAGCGCTAAGTTATGAATATTGTTTGTCTGTTCTAGATTAAATGCAGTTATAACAGACATTATAAATATTTGAGCTTGTATCAGTGTGACAGTGAGTCATTCAGTACAGAGTTCTGCAATAGAGCTGCCACTGCTGTTTTCCATTCCTAACAACTACCTGAAACTGAAACTCACAGTACCTTATCTAGAACTTCCAGAAGGACAAAAATGAAAAGTGACTGGTTGATTCCTCTGTCACTTCCTAATTATGATGAATTTAAGCCTTTTGTTGCTGTCCAAAATTTAACAATGACATAAAAGAAATATGACAATATTTGTGGGGCTTAAAAACAACCATGATGGCTACGTCAAATAAAAATGAAATAAAAATGACAGAGATGTATGTTTTATCTGGTTTTGTCAGAAACCATTAGACCTTCTTGAAAGGCCTACAAGGTCCTAAAGGTTCCTCACTGAAATATAGTTTTTGACTTCAAACTTTTGAATGATGGTTCACACTTTTGAACACTGGCATAGAATTTTAAATAATTTTATATTATCAAATAAAAAGTCAAATACTAATGTCAGTGTGTGTGTGCAGGCTGGGTGGGTCTCTGGCCCGGGGTGTTGCCCACCTGCACAGCGAGCGAACTCCCTGCGGACGCCCTAAAGTGGCCATCGCCCACCGCGACCTGAAGAGCTCCAATATTTTGGTGAAGGACGACCTGACCTGCTGCCTCTGCGACTTTGGCCTCAGCCTCCGTCTGGACAGTTCAATGTCCATTGATGAGCTCGCCAACAGTGGACAGGTGAGACACAAAAATATGATGTAATAAATAAACAACCATATGAACAGGTGCATTTACATATACACAATTTGCAACAGCAGACAAACTCCTCTGACAGTGATGTGCTGTATGTCTTCTGCTCAGGTGGGCACAGCCAGGTATATGGCCCCAGAGGTGCTGGAGTCCAGAATCAACCTGGAGAACATTGAGTCCTTCAAGCAGACAGATGTCTACTCTATGGCTCTGGTGCTGTGGGAGATCACCTCCAGATGTACTGCCATTGGAGGTACTGTATGCTGGTCATTAGCATATGGCATTATTACAAACACCTACCTTGTACTTCCACTCACTGGCCATTTTATTAGAAACACCTAACTTGTCCTTCTAAGTGGCCACTTTATTAGAAACACCTGCCTTGTACTTCCACTGATTGGCCAATTTATTAGAAACACTTACCTTGTGTTTCCCCTCACTGGCCACTTTATTAGAAACATCTACCTTGTGCTTCCACCAACTGGCAACTTTATTAGAGACACCTACCTTGTGTTTCCACTGATTGGCCAATTTATTAGAAACCCATACCTAGTGTTTCCACTAACTGGCCACTTTATTAAAAAACATCTGTCTTGTACTTCTATTTGGCCACTTTATTAGAAACACCTACCTTGTCCTTCTATTTGGCAACTTTATTAGAAACACCTACCTTGTACTTCTATTTGGCCACTTTATTAGAAACACCTACGTTGTACTTCTATTTGGCCACTTTATTAGAAACACCTGCCTTGTACTTCCACTAACAGGCCACTTTATTAGAAACACCTGCCTTGTACTTCCACTGATTGGCCAATTTATTAGAAACATCTACCTTGTACTTCCACTAGTTGGCCACTTTATTAGAAACACCTATCTTGTACTTCCACTAAATGGTCACTTTATTAGAAACACCTGCCTTGTATTTCCACTGATTGGCCAATTTATTAGAAACCCATACCTAGTGTTTCCACTAACTGGCCACTTTATTACACGTGACCAGTGATGAAAGACTAGAGGACAGTTAACTCAAGCTATCTATCAACAGATGATCTACAGTCTCTAACTGCACACCAGCAAGGTGGAGCTTCAAGAGAGGGGTTTCTGATAAAGTGGTCTGTAAGGGTATTCCCCCTATGTAAAAGTACATGTTTGGCATCATTGTGGTGGCTGTAGTGTGCTTTTAGCTTTAGCTGGTGGTTCAAGAAGAACTGAGCCGTTTCTTTCTTAAAGAAACTTCCTCATTTATTACTTTGGATTGGAATGTCCAGAAATTATTACAGTAACAAATACAGGAAACAAGCGATACAAAAGGTTTTCCCTCCAGCACAGAGATGCCATTGTTATGCCAGGCTTCAGAAGAACACAAACCACTGTCCACGTCAATACAGGTCAGTCTAGAGAGAGAGAGAGACAGAGAGTATGGGTGAACCTCTACACTTCCATTCAAAATTCTGGAATAACATATTATTGTTATTTTCTTCAATAATAACTTTTAGAGTGAAGATTCAGATATTATAAACTAGATATTAGAATGTTTTAGATTTACATATTTCTTTATAATATATCATGATCATCCATAATAATTTTTGTCAAATTATCTGCTTTGAGATTTGGCCACCAAACATAATGCGTTCTTGATATGAATTTTACTATAACTTCATTTGGTTTATTACATTTATTCCAGATGTTCTGGATGATAATTTTATTAGAATTTGATTCTAGGCATACATTTCATTAAAACTTCATTCTAAGTATTATTTTTTTTTTGGAACGTCATTCTGGACATTCATTTTATTAGAACTTCATTCTTGATGTTAATTTTATTAGCACTTCATTCTGGATATGAGTTTTATTAGAACTTTACTGTAAATGTTAATTTCATTAGAACTTCGTTCTAGAGGTTTTTTTTAGAAATTTATTCTAGATATGAATTGTATTAGATCTTCATTATAGACATTGCTTTCATTAGAAATTCATTCTAGACGTAACATTTATTGGAGCTTCATTCTGGATGTTAGTTTAATTAGAACTTTATTCTAGATGTTAATTTTATTAGAAATTCATTCTGGATTTTTATGTGTATCTTCAGAATCATCTACTGCTTTGTTCATCTTTCTACACGTCTAAAATGTCCATTTATGGCTGCTTGTTATCTGACAGCTGTTGTGAATCAGTTGTTGAACACACATTATATTAGAATTGGTTTTTAATGATTCCACTGTTTTCACAGCAGTAATTTCAGACTTCAGAACTTCTGTGTCCAGCACAGTTCAGGAGTCAGGAATGTTTTGGGAAATGTCCGTGGGAAATTCCATGGTTGGGTCAGTCAGATAGGTGTCCTGTTTCTGATTTACCATCCACCCTGCTGGAACTCATTTTCCCACTTCCTGTTTATCTGAGGGGAGCTCATGCAGGAATAACAGAAAGTGCTGAAAGCCCATAGTGGTCATGTACCATCTGATACAGTGGGGCACACTTCAGTGCTGGGCTGTGGGGTAGTTAATGCAGTGTTAGTGCCTACCATCAAGTTGTATGGGTAGAAGTGACCAGCCTGCTGTCTCAGCTGTTTAAGCAGTTCTCCCCTGCTGTCTGTTCAATAAAAGAGCATTCGCTTAATGCACTCAGGCCCCTCCCATCCGCAAGCATCTGGACGTTTTGAAAAGTTTTTTTCTGTGTTTTGACACGACAACAGAACTTTCTTTCACTGAAAATGGACGATTTTGGAAACGCTCTCCACGGTGGAGACTTTTGAGAATTTGATTGTTCAAGCTGGCTGCACAGTTCAGTGCTCAAGATGTAAACAGTCACTCAGCATGGTTTGGTGTGAAATGGTTCACTGTAGAGGCTCAGTATCAATTATCCATTACGGTGCAATCTCAAAATCTTGTCTTTAATTTTTTAAATGCAAAGTCATATTTTACAATTTAGAATTTGCACAAACATGACTGAAAACTCAAAAAACCAATGAACATCACCATTTTTTGCCCATAACTCAGAGTTCCAGCATAGTGTTGTGTGATTGGGGGAGACCTAACTAGTGGGTGGAATTGGGCACGACTAAATTGGGGAGAAAATTTTGAAAGAATCAATAAAAAAACTCCAAAAACCAGGATTGTCAGAACAAACGCAAAGCAAAAATGTTTCTATAAAAAATTGTATGCCTTTTTAACTCAGTATCCCATAATACTGTGCACTATAGCTCAAAGTCAACGTAACAATAATCTGCTGTTATTACAGAAAATGTTAAGATGAGTTGACTTCAGAATAAAGTAATAAAAAAGAAATGTTGAATAATATTGGAATTATTATTAACAATAATCAATAGTGTACTTTGACCAATTTTAATTAAATGACTTTTGTGTGGTGTTCAGGTCTGTGGGACCCATTTTTAATGTTTACCAAAGAGAAAATTGTGTGATTTATTATTATTTCAACCTCAGATTCTTGATCTTTCATTTTCAGTCTTCACTCTGTTCTCCTCCTACATGGCCTGCTGTTAGTGTGTGTGTGTGTGTGTGTGTGTGTGTGTGTGTGAGGGTGGACAACATGGACAGGCTGCTTACTGGCTACAGCTGCTAAAGGAGAACCCTAGACTGGACACTTGTGATATTTTGAACATCTGGTATTTTTACATTAATTGTTATGGCTGTATTGATTTAAATAAACAGTAATGTGGTGGGTCGACCAGACCACTGAGTAACAAACACATCAACACCACACAAGGGTTAATGATGTTTTTCTGTGAATTACAGGTTAGTATGCAGTGATCTGTCATGTGAAGTGAGGTGTAGTTTACTGTAAATGAGTCTTGGGTAGATTCAGACAGGGCTGTGCATTGATGCCTCACAGCAGAGCGTATCTCTGAGCTGGATCTGCTGTGTTGTCTGCTGCTTTTTTTAGAGGAGGTTTGTGTAGCTAACAGCATGTCTGGGCACAAGACACAATTGAGACCACAGACAGGGTTAGATTGGAGTTAAAGGGGAGTGGTTTGGTGTGAAATGCTCTGTTCCAGGGTCAGAACTGTTCACAGTGGTGGTGATAGGAACCAGGCGTCCACCTCTAAAAGCTCCCTCACAGAAAGTTACTACATGAAATGGTTATGAATTCACTGCCTGATGACTGAGACACTGTTTTATGAAATTTTTAAAAAGGTTTATACTTTATAAGTAGTTTCTGCTCAGCAAATTACCACCATGACAGCAATGCTAATTTCCATTAGCACCTCTGTGTGATATCCAGTCTTATTTAGCACCAAGCTAACAGTGTTGGCCTTCTCTTTTCCCACACTGGGGCTGAATCTCAAATCACCCCCCTACACAGTATTTGTTAGTATCAGAGATAACTGCAACTTCTAAGTGTTAAATTTTAATCACAGGAGCTTGTGATGGTGATGTAATTGGGTGTTAAGATCATGTGTACGTGTGGTAGAAGCCTTAAAGTGGCTGATGACATTGTAAGAGTGACAGACTTTGACAGCGTGTTTCGGTTCCTTAACCACTTGTTGTTGTTGATGTGTCTTACATTGGGCATCGTTTGGACCTGCAGTCAGTGTAACTGCACCCAGTTACTAACACTGATATAGGCTTTTAAACAAATTACTGTCCTTTATCGCTTGGTTTAAAGTGTCAATTTAAAAGCTATTGTTGCCTCCAAAATTTCAGCCTGCAGATCATTTGTGAAATGCAGCTTGAAGCCATATACAAATACGACATTGTTGACTTTTGTCCTCCATTTCAGTCCTTAAGAACCACCAGACCTTGTCTCTATCTCAGCTAACCCAGCTCTTCAGCTCATTAGCAGGAAAAAGAATGAAGAATGTGCTCTTATCTAGGGCATAAAAACCAGGCCATAAATGCATCATGAAGTTCAGATCTATTTAACAATTGTTGTGTTGAAATCCTGTTTTCTTCGTGCTGTAGAGCTGCTGGGAAAGTTGCTGAAGTCCTGTGTGGTTGTTCTGAGAGCGAGTAAACGCTGAAGGTGGTGAAAATGCAGAGTTTCTGTTTTGTTTTTGCTGAAATGTCGGTGTGGTTAGAGAAATGCTCGACCTACTCTTGTAGCTGCAGGAGGAAACGCTCATATAAAAAATAGGAAGTCCCGTCTCTGTGAAACTCACTGCTATGCGACTCCACTTCCTGCCGGGGCATCTGCACTTCCTATACATGGGTGCTCAGATTCCCCTGGCATTCAGGGTGACAGTCGTTCACTGTGGTTTCTACTCAATAATGTCATCTGACCACAAAGAATTAAAAAAAATCATTCTCTGACCGCATAGAATTAAAAAAAATCATTCTCTGACCACATAAAATTAAAAAATCATTCTCTGACCACATAAAATTAAAAAAATCATTTTCCGACCACATAAAATTAAAAAATCATTCTCTGACCACATAAAATTAAAAAATCATTCTCTGACCACATAAAATTTAAAAAATCTTTCTCCGACCACAAAGAATTAAAAAAATCAACATCCTCCACCAAACACCATCATTTACCAAAAACACCATAATTTACCAAAAAAACACAATTTGCCATCATTCAACATCAAATACTAACATTGTCCACCAAACCCCATCATTCCCCAACAAACGCCATCACTCTCCATCAAACACGATCATTGTCCAAGAAAAACATTCTCCTCCAAACACCAGCATTCATCACCAAATGTCAACATTTTCCAGCAAACACCAACACTTTCCTCCAAACACCATCATTCTCCTCTAAACACCATCATTCTCCTCCAAACACCATCATTCTCTTCCAAACACCAACATTCTCCTCCAAACACAGTCATTCTCCACCAAATGGCATCATTCTCTAATAAACACCACTGTTCTTCCACAAACAACTGAGTTGTACAGTCCATCCTTGAATGTCCTCCAGTGTGATCCAACACAGTTACATAAATTTGAAGAACAAATAAAACAATAAGAAAAAACATGAGAAACATCATAGTCAGTTGTTGTGATGTTTTGATGGCCCAAATAACAGATGTAGTAGACTGGAGCTTCTGGGCGGAGAACCTTTGCTCCAGGCTTCCAGCTGCGTCGACTGGCTGAGTTTGTTGCTCCTGTGCTCCTGTGAGACTCTGCATTGTTAAACTCGTGCCGTAAGCTGTTGTCTGATGCTAACTAAATCCTGTGTGTCTGTGTGTGCAGAGGTTAAGGAGTACGAGCTGCCGTTTGGGAAGCTGAGGGAGCACCCGTGTGTGGACAGCATGAAGGACAGCGTGATCAGAGACAGAGAACGTCCAGAGATACCCAGCAGCTGGTGTAAACACCTGGTAAATACACACACACACACACACACACACACACACACACACACACATCATCAGTGTGGAGATGTTAGCCTAGCCAAGCTAATGCTAACACCACAGCCAGCTCCACTCCACTGTTCTAGTCCTAGCACTGTTAAACATTTAGCTAGTGCTGCTGTTTGTTTATTTAGTTAATTAATTGAAATGCAGTCTTTATATATTTGAAAATATGTTATTAACACAGTGTGGCTGTTAAATTATGCTTTATTCTAGATCATTCTACTGTACTCACCTGTAATTACACGGAATCAACACTAAAAAGGGAACGTTTGTGAACAAACTTTAAGTTGGCTTGACATATCCATTGCTATGGAATCCCACGTGGTTGCTAAGGTGTTGCTAGGCCGTTGCTATGGTATCCTGGGTGGTCGCTAAGACATTGCTAGGCCATTCCCATGCTATCCTACAATGTTGCTAAGGTTGCTAGACCTCTGCTACAGAATCCAAGGTGGTTGCTAAGGTGTTGCTAGGCCGTTGCTATGGTGTCCTAGGTGGTCGCTAAGACATTGCTAGGCCATTCCCTATGTTATCCTACAATGTTGCTAAGGTTGCTAGACCTCTGCTACAGAATGCAAGGTGGTTGCTATGGTGTCCTAGGTGGTTGCTAAGACATTGCTAGGCCATTCCTATGTTATCCTAAAATGTTGCTAAGGTTGCTAGACCTCTGCTACAGAATGCAAGGTGGTTGCTATGGTGTCCTAGGTGGTTGCTAAGACATTGCTAGGCCAGTCCTATGTTATCCTAAAATGTTGCTAAGTTTGCTAGACCTCTGCTACAGAATCCAAGGTGGTTGCTAAGGTGTTGCTAGGCCGTTGCTATGGTGTCCTAGGTGGTTGCTAAGACATTGCTAGGCCATTCCTATGTTATTCTACGATGTTGCTAAGGTTGCTAGACCTCTGCTACAGAATCCAAGGTGGTTGCTAAGGTGTTGCTAGGCCGTTGCTATGGTATCCTGGGTGGTCGCTAAGACATTGCTAGGCCATTCCCATGCTATCCTACAATGTTGCTAAGGTTGCTAGACCTCTGCTACAGAATCCAAGGTGGTTGCTAAGGTGTTGCTAGGCCGTTGCTATGGTATCCCAGGTGGTTGCTAAGACATAGTTAGGCCATTCCTATGTTATTCTACGATGTTGCTAAGGTTGCTAGACCTCTGCTACAGAATCTAAGGTGGTTGCTAAGGTGCTGCTAGTCTGTTGCTGGCATATTCCAAATGTTGCAATGGTGTTGCTAAGTGCTTTATATGGTATCCCAGGTGGTTGTTAAGGTGCTGCTAGTCTGTTGCTGGCGTATTCCATATGATTGCAATGGTGTTGCTAGGTGCTTTATATGGTATCCCAGGTGGTTGCCAAGGCATTGCTAGGTGGTTGATATGTTATCCCAGGTGGTTGCGAAAGTGTTGTTAGGTGATTGCTAGGCAGTTGCTATGGTCTTTGAGGTGGTTTCTAATGTGTTGTGAGGCAGTTGCTATGATATCCCAGGTGGTTGCTAGGATGTTGCTAGGCTGTTATGTAATCTCTGGTGGTTACTAAGAGTGTATGTGTGTGTGAGATTAGTGTGTATTGTAACTGTGTAATAACTGTATTATTACTGTGTATTTGTGTATGTGTTGTGCAGTAACTCTCTAACCACAGTTTAATTATTGTACAGTAGTGTGTAGATGTCTGAACCTGTGTGTAATTTGTAAAAGATCTCCATTGTAATATCATTTTTGGCAGAATTGAATTTTTTGAACATTATGCCACTCATTTCTTTGTGGAAAAAAAGTCTTTCGACAATCCCTGTATGAAAACCGTACATCCAATCACAGAAGCACAAGCACATTATTCAAGTATATCTTTTATGACTGTGTTTGGTTGTTGTAGTTCGAAAGCTGTAGATGTAATGTTGATTTTTTTTTTACTACAGAAGAAAAAGAAAGGCTGTTACATACTGAATGTGATGCAAAAAAAATGACACAAAATGCAAAATATACACACATGATTTTCTTGTATCAGAACTATATACAGCAGATGTGACACGGTTTTAAAAAGTTTGTCAAAATGTTTCGGCTGCAAATACAGATAAGCAGAATATCTATGAGAAGGCCTCTTACTTCTAAACAGGCAAACTGTGGCAGTGTGCTTTACCCTTTGGAAAAGCGAGAGGAGAATGGAGAGTTTCTTTCTCTCACAGCCGGGATCTCAGCTGAGTTTGAGCCGATTTTCGGAAATGAAGCCGCAATCGAAGCACAAAACAAACAAGCTGGAAGTATTTAAGTGCAGATAAGATCATCCTTTACTGCTCACAGAACAAGCAAACAGTAACACTGGGCTACCATCCCTGGGCTACTGTCCATTTTGGAAAAGTGAAAGTGAAACTTCCTTTAGAAGCTGAAACTCTAAATGCTTCCACACAGTTTATAACTGAGATGTTTGCTGCTCAGTTTGAGTTGCTTTTGTAGACTTGGATCCTCTTGACTTGTAAAAAAAAACAACTGTGACTGGTCAGTGAGTTTTATCGCTGGCAAAAGTTCACAAAAATCAAACAGGGGTGAATAAAATAACCACATTTTTGCTGTCTGAAAAAAGTCTGGCTTTGTGTGCAAGATATCATTAGTTAAAAAATTTAATATTTTAATGTCATTCAAATAAATGGTTTCTTATTATGCAGAATCTTAAATTCACTGGCACCTTAAATTCAGTGCTACCTTAAATCCATTGCCACTTTAAATTCACTTCCACTTTAAAATGACTGCTACCTTAAATTCAGTGCTACCTTATATTTACTGCCACCTTAAACGAAATGTTATTTCAAATTCACTGGCTCCTTAAATTCACTGCCACCATTAATTCACTACTACAGTATGTTGCCTGTTTGTTCCAGCATGTCAGTACATTGTTCTCACTGCATTGGAATTGTTCAATTAATGTTTATCTCAGTGTTTCTTCCACATGTTCTTTACGCATCCGCAGTGTACAGTATCGTACTAATTACACATCTCTTTCTCTCTCTCTCTCTCCCTCTCAGGGTATCAAAGCCATCTGTGCCACTATAGACGAGTGCTGGGATCAGGACCCCGAGGCCCGTCTGACTGCCCACTGTGTGATGGAGCGCTTAAATGCCCTGCAAGATCTGGACCATAACCAACTGAGCCAAAGCCCAGAGCAGAAGATCCAAAATGTCTGAAGACCTTTCAGCAGCTCCAAAGCCCTGCACTTTACAGCCACATTTCAGAGAACTGAGCAGTAAACATATCAGCCTAAAGCCATAGTGTGGTGGGAGCAGTTAATGTACACGGTTTTCCCCCAACTTACCTCAAATACAGTCGATAAGCCAAGATGTGTTTGGTGTCTGAAGTTCATTTCTTTAGTTATAGCACTGCAGCTATGAGGCTAATGTGTTTACCAAGTTATAGTACTTTTTAGCTACATTAGTTTACTTGAGATTGCTAAACAACTCAACACGGTTTGAGGCTTCAGTCTTGCAGTTTGCGCTAATCAGTGGATGCTAACTGCGGGATAGGAGATTTTGGCACTGTGCTATCTACATGACTACAGAGGCATTTTCTATGCAATAGTTTTAGAAACAACGTAAGGCCAGACATAATGCTAATTGGTGATATATTAGCTTCAATTACTTGTTAGCTATGTTAGCCTCGTAGCTCCAGTGCTAAAACTAAAGAAGCAAATTTCAGACACTGATCATGACTTGGGATAAGGGGGGGGGGCTTTATTGCTTTGAACATTTATCAAAAGAAAGCGCCGTTTTGCTTTTGCTAAACATGCTGCAAACTTGATTCAGGTGATTATTTTGTTTTTTATTTTCTTTTTTTCTTGAGTTCATGGAACTCGAAGGCTTTGGCTGGAGATAAGAGAACGAGAGCTTCTGGGAATGAGTGTGATTTTTCCGAGATATGCGTAAGTGCTGCAATAAAGAAAACAGCATCAGCCTTTTTTAGCCCCAGAGGGGCGAAGCTTTCTGCTCTGAGCAGCTCTGTACTGTAAACACGAATGCTTCACCGAGCCCAGCACTCATAAAGGAACTGCGATGTTTATGTAACAGACTACAACGGGACACTCTGATAAGGACCGTCATCCCAGCCGAGGAGGCGTACTACAGATAAACACTTCATCCGGGATAAAAGAGAGGAGCTACAGGAGTTTATCACAGACTGTATATCACATTACAGGGCAGGTCAGTCTGCCTCAGCTGAGAACCTTCCACTGTACAGAGTTTACTGTGTTCACACCGAAGATTAAACGTGTTCAGGACTTAAACAGGACCAGACTCTTTATTCTGGATGTCCTCTGAGTTTAGCAGGAAGGAGAAATGCTCTTCTTTTCTTCTGTTAATTATACAGTAACTGCTGTGAATTATTCAACATCCACTATGAATTATTCAGTATCAATAATGAATTATTCTGTATCTGCTATGATTTTTTTCCGTAACTGCTATGAATTTTTTTCATAACTATAACAAATAATTCTGTGGCTACAATCAATTGTTCAGTATGAATAACTATGAATTTCTTGATTCCTAATTAATCTAGCTACTGAATTCCTCAGAAACTAGAATATTTATTCAGTATTCAATATCTACTATGAATTATTTGGTATCCATTATGAATTATTCAGTATCTACTGTGAATTATTCAGTATCTACTATCAATTATTTAGAATCTGCTATGAATCATTCAGTATATGTTATGAATTGTTCAGTATCTACTGTGAATTATTCAGTATCTGTTATGAATTATTCTATAAATATAAAGAATTATTCAGTACCTACAACCAACTATTCAGTATGAATAATTATTAACTACAATCAATCATGACTTAACTATAATAAACTGTATAAATATTTATGAATTTCTCAGTAACTAGAATAATTATTCAGTATCTACAGTATCTGCTATGAATGAATTATTCAGTAACTTCAGTTATTAAGTAACTACAATTAATTGTTCAGTGTCTTATAAATTATTCAAAAACAGCTAAGAATTATTCAGTAACCACTATAAATTATTCAGAATTCGCTATTAATTATTCAAAAACAGCTAAGAATTATTCATTGTCCACTATGAATTATTCAGGATCTGCTATGAGTTATTTAGGATCTATTATACATTGTTTGGTCTCAACTATGCAACTCATATGAAACTCAACTTGTGTGAGGAACTGATGTGTGGACCTTAATAATTGTCAGTTGTTTTCATATATGACGTCTGTGATTTGTCTTACGCTGCCCCCTGCTGGCAACAGGACCAACAGTCTTCATTAGAAACCCCTCCTTTGTAGCTCCTCCTTGCTGGTGTGCAGTTAGAGACTGTAGCTCGTCTGTTGATGCACAGTTTGAGTTAGTCAACCTCGGTTCCTTCATCAGTGCTACAAGGTAGGTGTTTCTAATAAAGTGGCCAGTTAGTGGAAGTACAAGGCAGGTGTTTCTATTAAAGTGGCCAGTTAGTGGAAATACAAGGTAGGTGTTTCTAATAAAGTGAAGATTTGAAGGAGGAGAAAGAAGAGCAGTCACGGAGAGATTAAGGAAGAGAGTTCCAGATTTTGGGGGCCGTGGCACTGAAGGACCTCCCTCCCAAAGTGGAAAGTCTGGTGCTGGGACAGCAAGTAAGTTATTACAAGAAGACCTGAGAGAGCGAGAGGGAGTGTAAGAGGTCAGAAGTTCTCTGCGGTAGAGGGGAGCGAAGTTATACAGGGCTTTGAAAGTGAGTAGTAAAATTTTAAACTGGTAGCCAGTGTAGCTGAGAGAGAACGGGAGTGATGTGAGCTGAATGCTTAGTATGGGTGAGAACTCTTGCTGAAGAGCTCTGAATGTACCGTAGCTTTTGTATAGACTTTATAGGGAGACCAACAAAGAGGGAGTTACAGTAGTTAATACGGGACATAATGCAGGCATGAACCAAAATTTGTGTGGCATTATTAGTCAGGAACGGGCGAAGACGAGCAATGTGCAAAGTGAAAGAATGCAGTCTTTGTGAGGAACTTGATATGTAGATCAAAATTAAGTGATGAGTCGAGTAAAATACCAAGATTTCTAAAACAGCAGGCCATCAATACTAACAGAAAAATTCTGGATGATTTTGATAGTCAAGATTTAGGGCCAACCAGTAAGACTTCAGTTTTGTCAGTCTTTAGCATTAGAAAGTTATCATGAATCCAAAGCTTTAAATCAGAAATACAATCCATTAGTGTATTGGGAGGGGAGTCTGAGGGGGAGTGTGTACTGAGATATAACTGAATATCATCAGCATAACAGTGAACGTTAAGGCCATGGCTACGAATGATCTCACCAAGGGGTGAGATGTAGATTAAGAAAAGTAGGGGTCCAAGAACTGAGCCCTGGGGGACACCACATGTAACAGGAGAGGTGGAGGACTTGTGTGGACCTAGTGTGATAAACTGCTGTCTGTCTGTAAGATACGACCTGAACCACTGCAAGGCTGTGTCAGTGTTACCAATAGAGAAAAGGCGAGAAATGAGAACATCATGATTAACAGTATTGAATGCTGCACTTAAGTCAAGGAGAAGGAGAATACTGAGAGAACCACTATCAGCAGACTGGAGAAGATCATTAACCACTGGCAGAAGAGCTGTCTCAGTGCTGTGGTGAGTACGGAAACCAGGCTGAAATGGCTCGTAGAGGGCATTATCACTGAGAAATGTCTGGACTTGGGAAGCAACAACTCTTTTCATTACTTTAGCTAGAAAGGGAAGGTGTGAGATGGGTCTGTAATTAGAAAGAGAAGTTGGATCCACTTCAGGTTTCTTAAGTATAGGAGTAACTGCAGCAGTTTTAAGGCCAGTGGGAACAAAACCGGAAGAGAGACATAAATTTATCATTGTAGCAAATGAAGTGTTGATTACAGATGGACAGGCACTGAGTAGAGTGGTGGGGGCAGGGTGAAGCTGACAGGAGGAAGCATTAGACTTAGTGATGAGTTCAGAGAGTCAACTGGTGAGAAGCAAGTTAGCTTTGTTTCCAAAGTAGGAAAATCAGTAAAGGTGAATGACTGAAAGTAGAAGGAAAGAAATTATAGATTTGATTAATTTTCTTTTCACAGGAATGTAGAAAAGCCTGACATTGCTCAGCTGAATGGGGGCACACTGACACAGGAGGATGGAGGAGTTTGTTAACAGTCCGAAAGAGTGTTTTCGGCCTAGACTTAGCATTATTTATGACGGAGGAGTAGTAGTTGGAGGGGGCAGTATTAAGGGCATCCCTATACTTGTGGATGTACTGAATGTAAAGTAGAGAGTGGACAGTGGGGCCAGTTTTTTTTTATAAAGGTGCTCAAGATGCCGACAAATGGTCTTCAGTACTATCAGTTCAGGGGTGAACCAAGGACACGAGTGGGTGGCAGGGAGAAGTCTATTCTTAAAAGGGGCTAAATCATTAGGAAATCCAAAGTCAGTGTTATTATAGAGGGAAACCAAACTGTCAGGGGATGATAGGCTGTGTAGGTCAGACAGGGCTGAAGACTGAAGAGAAGCAGCAAACAGATTGAGATTGACAGGCCTAATATCACGATAGACAACAGAGACTTTAAACCGGAGATTTTAAACCAGAATGATAAACCACAGCCAGACCACCTCACCTATAGTAGTCAAATGTAATTACTTAATTACATATTTAATTACATATTTGAATACATGGGAATTTACATATTAGCTACTTGACAGTTCCCACCTGAGCAGAAATCATTCATTGTTGCCCAAAGAAAAATAAGTGCCCTCAAAATAATAACTTTACAGGAGAGGGCAAAAACACCCTTCACTTTTAATAAAAGTTATTAATAAGACTTGATTTTCTTCCAAGCAATTTTGGAGCATTTCTATTAGTCTATTCATCTCAAAAATTTCACATAATGTAAATGACAGCTGAGCTCAAATTATGGAGAAATCTAAAAATTAAAAAAAAAAATATATTTTTTTTTGACAGCAACAATATCCAGCATAACAGCTGAGTAACATCACCTTCAACAGGACGTTATTTCCCACAGTTTGTCCTTAAGAGATCTAGAATTATTATTGTCATTTGCTGTCCTGTTTAAATGTAATTACATAATTAAAGTCAGTTACATAATTAGATACATATTGAATTACATTCATATTGGTTTAAGTTCTGTATTGACATCTTTCAGTGTTTCTATCCATAATAAAATATCTCCTCTTCAGCTTACAAACAAATGTGGTCTGATGAACGTTTAAAATCTGCAACTTCAAAGATTTTGCATTCTAAATAGCAAAACTGACACGTGGAGAATGTCTCTTTAATACATGAAAATCACAGACCCCCTTAATTTATTCTAAATGTATAATATCAAAATGATTGGATGGGATTTTTGGAACAGATCAAATACAGACAGAACCTTCTGATCCTAAGAACTCACTTTCTGTTTGGAGTTATAAGGTTCTATCTGGCAAAACATGAAAAGAAACAACAATTTGTTTATACAAACTGTTTATACTTGAACTTTGGTTTGAAACACAATTTGTGTATCTGAGTGTCTACATCTAATTTAATGCTTCCTATGATATTTTTATGACATTTTTTATTTACTAGTTTTAATGATATTTCTTGTTTTAGGTCAAATCATCTTTTTCTTTTTAAAAAAAGCACTGCAGATTAAAAATAAAGGTCAGTGCTAAATATTGTGCAGAGGTCAGTTTTTGGTAGGAACCATTAGTTTCAGTTTCCCTTAGTCAGACAGAGACAGCTACTGGAATAAACTGTCCCAGCAGGTCAGTGTAGGTGGTCAGTCTAAAGGCTGTGTGAGGTTTTGTTTTATATCAGAAATGTGACTCTAATGAGCCAAAATGTCTTATTTTGGGAAAAAGAAGATAGAACTTCTTATAGAACTAAGTTAGAGGTTGTTTGGAGAGAGAACCTTTTTGTTTTCTAGATAAAGAGTCCAAAAATACATACAACTCAAAAAAACACTTCACATAATGTTAAGAATTTGTCACAGAATAAGAATATTTAAATAACTCAAATTTGACAAAAATGTCAGATAGAACCTCATAATTCCAGGGGGACGATTTCACTTTCAGTTTCAATGAACTACGAGACAGAAACAATTCTTATAAAATTACAGCATGATTTTGTTTTTACAGGTGATCACTGTTGGGCTAAGGATACACTTACCTCAATATCACCTAGCATTACATGCAAATCATGTACACAACAATTAACTGGATCATCATTAGAAGCTCTTGAATCATAGCTGATGTCTTTTGTCCTAAATATGTCTAGTAAATGCTTATAAGCTTGGTAAAAGTGAGAAATGGCCTGAATGGAAAGCCTATGCCATAACCTCCACTGACCAGCAGAGGGCACTGAAACTCTTTATATGATTTCAGTTCCATTCAGTTCAGTACATTCCCCGAATAAAAGGCTCTAAACTGACACTGAGATGGTGCCCCTTAAGGGTACATCTTTTGTACCTATATTTAGGGAACATAGTCATACCACATTCCATTGCATTTACGTTCCTTGGAGTTAAACTGTCTCTATGCACTCTGTCTTGATTCCAGGCTTTTTATTTTATTATTATTATTTTTTTGTGTTTAAATATTATGTTATGAAAGGTA